CTAATACCAGGCCAGACCCAGGAAGGGAGTGGGAGTCACAAATTGCTTTGGTTTAGTGGGGATAAAACAATGACTCTCCCTCCAGCAAAGCCACCTGAAGCTCCACAGAAGTTTGAGCAGTTGGAACTGTACTAGTCCTTACCTTTAAGGCAGAGAAGGAAATTCCGTCCCCATACTTGCCCCCCATTAGAGGAGAGACAAGGCATCCAGCATATGAAACTCCCACCAAGAAGAAAAGCTTGTAATTACCACTTGTCCATAAAGCTCCTTCAGCTTGTCTGTCTGCTGACTGGCACTCTGAATGGTCTTGAGAGCACTTTCAATACGATTCAACCTGTATTCACAGTAGGCCTTCTCAAAGGCAATAATGTCACTGCAAGGACAAGACAAAGGCTGACAGCATGCACTGTAGTTTGCATTCAAAAGCATTCACCCACATAAGCACACTTGTTTAATCAGCCCTAATTAGTCTCAGACTGCTACATAACCCAAAATCCAAACACATGATCCCAGATTACTGAATTATGTATCCATTGAGTACTGAAAGTACCTTAAACCTACTTTGTGTTCAGCAGAGAAAGCATATCAAAACTTCACCTAAAAAGGTTCCTTTTTAATGGCATCTCCAGACAAACAGCATTCCAAATCCTCTCCACCCCCACCTCCTACTGATTATGCTAATCAAATGCTTAAAAGGTGGAACAATACCAAATCTCAGTCCATGACTCTTTCTTAAGGAGAAGGTGTATCATTACAACAAAAGGTTGTTACTGCAAATTTTTAAAGACAATTTACTCACACAGAGAGAGGAAGGAAAAGGTATAAAATACAAATCCCTCTTACAGTCTGATATGAAGACAAACAGAACATTAACCTATTCTAAACATCAGCGCAGCAGAACTGCAGCAAAAAGGTTTGCTAACATAAAACGGACTTCAAAGCAAGCTCACACCAGCAGGGAAGCATTCTCAAAAAAGCAGAGCCTTGAATGCTATGTTCCGCCTACTCCCCGAGTTACCACTTAAGCCAAAGGAAAATTAATTAGTGATTCCTTTAGTTCATGCCTGGGGCCATTTGCTATCAGCTTTTCTTTGCCTATTTAAAATGATCTCGATTCAACTGAGTATTAAGGAAGTTTGAAAACAAATTAATGGCATTCAGAATTAAAGAAAAGCAGTGGGCCACCCTCAGCGCAGGACGGGACAACTTCAAGACGGAGAAAGAACCACTTTCCCTGCTCTGCAGGACAGAGACAGACACATAGCAGAATGAGGCTAAATAAATTATAGGAAAAACTCTGAAGCCAGTTGGATTTACAGAAAATATTCCTCCTCTTTACCATATAATTAAAAATTAAGCTAAAAAACTTGAATTAAACCCCTTTTGTCCCAGGAAAGAAGGAATTAGTGAATAAGGTAATTATTCAGATGTGAACATAAACGATGGTATGTTTCATCACAGTGATACTTCAACACACTTTTCTGGGAAGTTCCTTAATAAAAGCAGTATCTGAAATAAAAAATTTTGCTGCCAGGCAGTTCTTGGGTAGAAATTTTCATCCTAGTTGTTGCACAAAGAGCATCCTTATTAGGAAGAAAATCAGTCTTCTTAATGACTCAAATGAGAAGCTTGACTTGTCCTCAGACACAAGTTGTCTCCAAGGTCCTGATTTTGAGAGGATGCACAAAGGGCTGGCACCACCACAAAGGCTGAGGCAGTACCTTCAGGTTGGCAAAGAAAAGGACCCCAAGGAGCAGTATGGTGAGACAGCCAAGCAAAGCCAACAGTTAACTGCCACTGACAAAGGCTTTTCCCTTCTCTCCTCACTCCCACTGAGATCTGTCCCCTTCCCTTGTATCAGCTGTGATACTCAGCCACACCAACAGGCAGCATCAGCACATGGAGGTGGCTGAGAGCTACATCAGGGACAATCCCTTCAATAGTGAGAGCAAGATGTTACACTGCCTTAAACTCACCCAGACCCATAATAAACCAGAGTTTCACTGAGAAGACCAATCCCAATGTCTCTGAGCACCTCCTGCACTTTATTTTGCTGCCCTATCAGTCCCCTCCACTGAAGCTGCAGCAGCTTCTCAAGGACTTAGGGTTTCATATTTTGTAGAGCACAGCAAAACACAACTCACCTGGTTAACACTTTAGTGTGGGTATTGATTATGCCGAGAGCTTCCTTGAAGTTCCCATTCTGGATAAGACACACTACTTTACACTGAAGTGCAGTCACGTCGTCTTTGCTGATCTGCAGTACTGGAGGGGAAACCAGTTTCAATACAATGATCCAACTCACTATAAAACACACCAAGGCTTTGCAAGAGCCACATGTTGTCACAGGTGCAAAAACTCACCCCAGAGAGCGGTCATGTCAATTTAAAAGGCATGGCTTGCTTTGGTTCATAAAAGAATTCAGCATAAATACTGGAATTACCCGAAGTGACCACTGTGCTAACATGTCTGGAACAGAGCTGCACCAAAGGGGCTGGACAAACACCTGGACAAACCTTTCATTGGCATTTCACTTTCGGGGCAGAGAACACAGTGCCAAGGCCTGAGTGCCACGTAAAGCATACTGAGGAAGGACAACAGCTAGTACAGAAGAACAGTGTGGCTCTAGATAGGGAGTCACTTTACACACTAACACTTTCCACTGGTAAACAGGGAAGTAGAACTAGGAGAGAGACACGGGTTTTGCTATTTGATTTTTTCATATGATCCCAGCTCTGCCAGGAGAGGAGAGGAGTCCCTACTCTGCACAAGCAGAAAAGACAGAACTTTTAACCATTACATGCCTTATATTGCAATCCCATTTTGGATGCCAAACCAAACACAACCCAACGTGGACTCTCAGCCCCAAGCAAGTTATCGCTCCCAAGCTAGTCAGTCCATAAGTACACCACTCCTCCAGTTCCCAAGGGGAAAAGCACTCCTTTCTCCCACGATCAAAACGGAAGGAAACCCCACGAGCATCTCCGAGGCTTTGGATCACACCAAGGGATGCATGCGACGCAACAGAAGCACCTGCTGGTCACGGCTGCCCGTCTCGCCTCTTCCCCAGCACAGTCGGACCCGCTGGGGCCTTTGCCCGCTGCCCTGCTCCCGGAACGAAGCCTACGGACGGACACCCCTCGTTCCCCGCCACACGGCAGCGCCCCTGCACCAGGCCAAGCCCGCCCCGGCAGGGACGGGGGATCCGGGGGGGGGTACTACCACCCGCACTCACTCTTGTTGACGGACTTGAGGGCGCGGGCGAAGTCGCCGTTCTGCCCGCAGCGGTTCACCTCGCTCCACAGCCCCGCTGCCACCGCCGGCCCCGCCGCCGCCGCCGCCATCTTGGGACCGGGACCGGGACCAGACACACGTCGCGGGGGCGGTGGCTGCGCCGGAAGCGGAACACCGAGCGGGGCCCCGCCCCCCGCCGTGCGTCACCTGACAGCCGTCCCTCGCCCCGCCCCCAGCCCCACCTCCAGCCGCCCTCACCCCGCCCGCCTCCCGCACAGCGCCGGGCAGTGGGCACCGAAGGATCCGCTGAGCTGGTGCGCTGTAGTGATGTTCACTTCCTATTCTTCCGTGCAACGTTGCGAGTGGGAAGTTCAACAAGGAGGGCAAGTGCCGGATTCTGCAGCTGGGGCAGGGCGACCCTGAATGTACGGACAGATTTGGAAACAACAGGCTGGAGAGCAGTGGGAAGGACCTGGGAGTCCTGGTCGACGACAAGCTGAATATGAGTCAGCGGTGCCCTGGCAGCCAAGAGGGCCAGCCATGTCCTGGGAGGCATCAGGCAAAGTATCACCAGTCAGTCGAGGGAGGGGATTGTCCCGCTCTGCTCTGCACTGGGGCGGCCTCACCTTGAATATTGTGTGCAGTTTTGGGTGCCACAATATAAGAAAGATATTAAGCTCTTAGAGAGCATCCAAAGGAGGGCAATGAAGATGGTGAAGGGCCTTGAGGGGAAGCCATGTGAGGAGCGGCTGAGGTCACTTGAACTGTTCAGCCTGGAGGAGACTGAGGGGAGACCTCATTGCAGTCTACAACTTCCTCGTGAGGGGAAGGAAGAGGACGTGCAGGCACTGTTCTCTTCTCTCTGGTGACCAGTGACAGAACCCAAGGGAATGGCCCGAAGCTGAGTCAGGTGAGGTTTAGGTAGGATATTAAGAAAAGGCTTTTCACCCAGAGCATGGTTGGGCACTGGAAGTGGTCACAGCACCAAGCCCATCTGAGTTCAAGAAGCATATGGACAAAACTCTCAGGCACATGGTGTGATTCTTGGGGTGTCCTGCACAGGGCCAGGAGTTGGACTTGATCATACTTGTGGGTCCCTTCCAACTCAGCATTTTCTCTGATTCTATGATTTACTTTGATTTCATGAAAAGACTGTGTGCAGCTGTAGCACCTTAGTTATTGCCAAATTACCTCACTCCTCTTCCAATGTTTTGACTTAAAAAATGCAGTTAATATTTTAACCAACTTTTTTCCCCTCTTAGAATAAACAAACAGAAAAAAAATTCAACAGATATCACCAAAGTGAGTGTGTGTGAGGAGAGGGAAGGGGATGATGGCTCACCCCAAAAAGATTTTCCACCAATTCCCATTACTTTCTTCTGTTAAAGACTGACATCACTTTTCAAATTTCAGAAATGCCACATATTATTACAAATATCACAAGGGATTTTTTTTTTTAAATAAAAATTGTAAGGTTATAAATACGTCAGAGAGTAAGGGTGGCCATTACTTTGTATAATTCCAGCAACATATCAGGATTTGGCCTTCAAACACAAACTTGAGATAAAACTCCAGATATGAGATACAATCAGCAAAGCCAGCTCAGTGCAACTAGTACAGCACTGGACACTCGAGCCTCTCTTTATAGAGCAGCCCCGGGTAAATTACACGAATACTCACTCTGAAGGACTAGTGAGCAATCTGGTATCATCTCTGCCACAGGAATGACAACCACATTAAAGAAATGAAAAAGAAAAAACAATTAATACATTAAACAAAATACTCCTTTTATTAGAGTATTTTTGATTAAACATACAGAACTCAAGATCGCCATTTAAAATTTTTATCGCTCAAAGTTTTTCCCTCTAGAAGGATGGTAATGCTATCTCACTGCATATTATATGGAAGGATTATACCTCTCAAGTGTCTAGCTCACAAATCAGAGCAATACTGCCTGTACTTGGTGTGCAAGCAAAGAAGGTAGTGCTGTAATGCAATTAACAAACAAAAAAATGCACCACCAATACATACACAGTCAGCTCCATGGCCACTGATCCAGAGGGTAGCATCATATGGAGAAGCAGGCTTCAGGAGTGAAAGAGAAAACAGTTCCTGACCATGAAAAAGGAGTTGGTAACAGATTCAGACTGGTACATGTCCTAAACATTCCTCCTTTGCAAGGACTGCAAAGGACTGCAATTTTCGCCACTGGTTTGGAAGATTTTCTGCCTCTGTTGTACTGGCACAGAGGGGATGAAAGAGGGGATGAAACACGTGATCCTACAGCCCTCTCGCAGCTCCAAATGCCACCATTGCAGGCAGTCTGGTGAACCACTTACTTATGGCTGAAACACCATCTGCTATGGACTGGCTTCTGCACTAGAGCCTTGGCACCTACTTGTTCCTCTACCAGCACTGACAAAATTGAGCTCTTGTTTTACCCACAGGACATTAACAAAGCAGAACACATAGGCAGTGACACCCCTGCTGTCCCCACCTGCCGGTTTCAGTTCCTTGAGCACATCATGCAAGTCGCTACCATTACTATCAAACCTTGCAGACATTCACATACAAATATGAATATATATATATATATATTCAAGCTCTATACTTTGCATCTGCACACAAATTCTACAGCCACAACCTGCAGTTCTGTGCCTTTTCACACTGTTAAGCAAAACCTAAGCAACTGTCAGCTTTTAATTACGCATGGTTAAGATTCCTAGACTTTTTTTAAAGAATTGAAAAATACCATTTAGAAGTATGTTTGGTCAAGTTCATCACTGCACATGGTGCAGTCAAACCTGGTTAAGTGGTACTCATCAACTGTGTTGTGATGGAATGTCTAATGGCAGATTTCGTCAAATGAAAAATCCAGACAATTGAGAGGTATGCATAAAACTTGTCTTAAATATTTGAAGCTACATGTGCAATCTTACAGAACACAAGCTACAGTTACAGACATAACATTAAATCTTATCAACCAATAGTGCATAAGAACTTAAAAAGAGTCAAGTGAAATCAGTTTCAGCCAGTGACTTCCGAAAAAGTCTCTCAACTGCATTGTGAGGGGAAAAAAAAGGGGGGGGGGAATCATTCTTAGGCAGGTTTAACACAAAGTTTTAATTTACATTTTAAAAGCTGTTTTATTTTATATATATATACTATGTATAAAATAAATTAAAAAGGGGGAGGAGGAAATAGCTTTGTATATGCTTCAAATTAACATAGACCAGTAGTTCCATAAATGAACATTTTACCATCTTTGTGGTAAAAAGTTGACATAAAAGTTCAAAACCATACAATACTTATAAATAGAAAGAGTTCAAAAGATACTTTTTTTAAAAAATGGAATTTAAACATCATTTTCCCTTCCCCTACAATACACTTTAGTTTTGTATGTCAGCATCAATACATTTACAGAGCATTTGAATGTCACATCCACAGAATCAATAACAAAGCAGGTAAAAGGGCTAGCAGTGTTAAAATTTAGGACTTTTCTCCCAAATAACTCTACCTGCTCCTCAGCCTTGTCCTGAAATGAAGGCTATCAACATTCATCACCCGGTATGAGGTATGGGCAGAAGAAAATCTGCAACCGGTACTTTCCAACCCGCCTTGCCTCTAAAAACATAGCTACAATATAGCAACAACTGTTGATTTGGAAATTGACAATGGTGGTGGACAATCTCTTACCTCCAATCAGCTTGTATATAATTTAATCCTGGTATTTAAAAAAAAATTAAAACTGAAACATAGTACTAATGCTTAGCTTAAATAAAAACCAACCAAAAACCCCAACTTTAAATCTTCTTTGAAACCATGTTTAAATGTTCTTGTTCCTGATTTAAAGCTTCACATAAAACACTGGACAGAAGGATGACAATTTTAAACCAAGAGAGCACCTAAAAACATACCATAGGTAAAAATGAAATCAATAATCTCTCCACTTCATAAAAACATATAAACCCTGTGAGTAACAGTAGTACACTCAGAACGAACAACGTGAAAAGGAGCATCTAGAATACTCAAGAGGCTTGCTACGCTACTTCTCTTTATTGCCCATTCTCTCATTTGTATGGATGGCCACTGCATGGCAAGATGCCTGTGATAGTTCTCTTATCTTCCTTTCACCACTGCTGCCAGCTGAAGTCGTCATTGCTGCCAAAGACCAAGAAAAATCCTAGGATCGTGGCAAAGATGACTGTATTCCCCGTAAGAACGAGTGCGCACGCGCCCCAGTAAATCTGTGAACAAGGGGAATGTAGTTAGACACATTTTGAACTGAATACTGACAAGACAAAAGGCAACACCTTACTGTCCCATTCTAGACAAAGTTCAGTAACATGCCCATGATGCAATAAGGTGGTATATCATTATTTGTGGTTACACCAAGAAGGCTGGGTTTACCCAAAATTACTTGATCAATTCACAGCCAGCCAAGCAGCACAACAAGTTTCTTCTGTCCATACTCAAAGCACTGGCTAGCAGGCACAGCTGTTTTGGTGTATAAAGTAGGGCTAGGCTACAGCATCAAACACACCTGCAGCCCAGTTATATTGCCAACCACTCTGTAAGACTTTTTTAAACAGACATTTAAGGTCTTCAAAACACCAGCAGATATGCCAGCAACAAAAAAGGAGGTGGATGTTTCCCAGGGAGAGTAAGGGTGTGAGGCACTCAAACTGACCGTCTGAGCTGTATTATTGTTTCCACTGCAAACATCTTAAGTATGCAATTATAAGAGTTGTTTAGTGCACAAGAGCTTTACCTTCAGTAAAAAACCCCAAACATCAAGAACAAAGTTTTCTAGGAAAAAAAACAAACAATCATAGGTTGAAATATTACTAACCAGTGCTGCTCTTGCAAACACTATCGGTAGCCCAAATGCTGATACCACAATGCCTGTTGTAAGGAATATTGCTAGCTCCTTACAGGCATTACTTGTAGCATCTGTGTCATCTACTAATCTTCTTGCTATGCAGTACGGGATAGGAGACAGGATGTAAAAAAACAGAACAAACAGTGGCCAGTACTGGCTGAAAAAGAAAAGAGAAGAGAAATTTAAGTTAACTTGATTGTCTTCCTGTCCTTCCTAAAATCAACATAAGGCATTTTCCCCATTCAGCATCCACATTCAGGAAAGACAGACACAAACCCAGAGAAGGCAAATCCTTTGCTTTGGAACAAGCTGACATTAATCCAGCAGACCATGTTTGTGAGAGGCTTCAGCTGACCTCAGCAGCAGCAGAGCTCACTAACAGGATATTCATAAAGCAAGATTTCACTGTGCAAGCCTAAATCTAATGCCACCTCACAAGATGAGCTTAACTCCAAAGTTTATCCTGTCAGCTGTGCTTAAGAATTGCAGAGATACCTTTGCAGAGCCCTTACATCATTTTGGCCATAGGCTTTCAGTGCACACGCGTGGGACAGAGCGTCATTCTCAGACAATACTCGGCCACTATGGGGAACCAAGACATTTTTTTCCAGTTTTTTTAAAATCTGAATGCAACCAGCAGAAACCTACAAAAACTACACCATTGTTTTGGCAACACTTTCTTTTTTTGCTTGCAGCTCACTAGACTAGATTTCTCAGGCACACAAACGCAGGTGTGCATTGTTTCAATAAAACTTTATTGCATTGTTTGAAGGGCAACTGCACAGTGATCTCCTTCCCAAGGGTTTGTGTCACCAGCACTGGTTTTATATATGTCATAGTCATATATGTAGAGAACTGCAATTCACAACCAATAACAGGTTATTTACTGAATGTTGTTTAACATTCAGTAAATAAGTCAATTTAAAAGATTTTCTGTAGTCAGCATTCACTTGCAAAGAGTCAAAGCCACAGGTACCACTACCTGCACTTTTGGTCTGCTACTTTGTATCTCCTGAGAACTAAAGGATAGGAATGGACATACCCAAAGTACAGGTAGCAACTACAATCGCTCCAGATGCTACATTACCTGCGTGGGACACAGCGAAAGGTCCACCTGACAGTCACTGAGCGCCGAGCTACCACTACGCAGCCAGAGAAAATGCAGATGCTTCCCTGGATAACACACATTTGCTGCCTACCTCAGGAGTTCCTGTTTGTTTGTCAGCCACAGGCAATAGCTGGGACATGTCAGGGCAGTGTACCCTTTAACAGTCTGCAGTCAGGCCTGGTAGCTTAACTTTTGTTGTCACCACTTCTAAGGTGAATTAAACCCTGGATGGTCTTTTTTCCCACCCCAGTCTTTCGAAGCAAAAAAAAAAAAAGGCAAACCCCAAGACCCTTCCTACACAGAGAAGACTTCTCAATCCACAATTGCCTTGGCATGCAGGGGAGTTGGACTAGATGATCTCCAGAGATCCCTTCCAACCCTAACGATTCTGTGATTCCGAAATGACGAAATCCGAACCACTGTGGGGTGAGTAACACACAAAACAAGACACAAAGAACAGGAAGCGAGTGCACGTTACTTGTATTGGGGAAGGGCACATCCGAGCATCAGGAACATCAGTCCGACCGCTCCGCCGAAGGACAGGCTGATCAAGGCTGCAACGAGAACACAAGCGGAGCGCAGATGAAGGGCGCGACACGCCGCACAAAACACCGAGCGCGATCCGCAAACCAGCGCGGGGCTCAGCGCAGCCCCGCCCGCCCGGCACAGGGGGACACGGGGGGGGGGAGGGGCAGGGGGGGCTCCCGCGGCGGCTCCCGCCCGCACCCGCCCCTGCCCGCGAGGGCCGCCCCGCGCCCCCTGCGCGCACCTTTGATCCCGGCCATGGCGCCGCCCGTCCCGCGAGCCGCGCGGCACCGGAGGGGCGCGCGCCGGGAACCGGAACTGCCGCACGGAACCGGAAGCCGCTTCCGGGAAGGTGGAGCGCCCCGCCCGCGTGACGCGCGCGCGCGAAAGTCGCGAGACGGCGGCCCCGCCCTATGGGCGAAGCGCGGGAAGCGCCGCGCCCTCGCGGCCTATTGGCCCCACGGACTTCTGGGGGCGTGGCACAGAGAGAAGCTCCATCCCTTCCTCTGTGTTCCCCCCACCGGGGCGGACGGTGACGTAGTTTAGCGCTGTCATGGCGGCCGCCACCGCTCACATCCTGCTGCTCATGCTCTGCGCCGCCGCCGGCCCCGCGCTGGGCTGGGACCGCCCGGGTGAGACCCGCAGGGGTAAACGAGGCTCAGCGCGGCTCCTGTCGCCTCTCCTGGCGCCGCCGCTGCTCCATACGGGCCGGGCTGGTGGCGGCCGGCACGGGGGAAGGAGAGTTTGTGCCTGGGCTCGCGCCAGGAAGGCATTTGGGTTGGGGTTCCCTTTAAGGCGGCTTTTGCCGCAGCAGTCATCCCGCTCTGCGGTCGGGGGTGCTTGTGTGCCTAAGAGCAGTAGCCCATAGCCGCCTCGGAAGAAAACGAGGGAAATGCCGTGTTTCCCTCTGCGCGTCTGGTGCTTCCTGGGGCTTTGCCTCCTCAAGAAGCAAGGCTCTGCTTCGGCCTCTGCATGGCCAGTCGTCTCCTGAGAGGAGGCCCTTGTGGCCAGGGAGAACGCACCTGAACTAGTGCTGACAAGCATTAGGAAGAATTTCTTCTCGGAAAGCGTGATTACACATTGGAATGAGCTGCCCAGGGAGGTGGTGGAGTCACCGTCCTTGGAGGTGTTTAAAGAAAAACTGCATGTGGTACTTAGTGCCATGGTCGAGTTGACGTGGTGTTCAGCCATGGGCTGGACTCGGTGATCTCAGAGGTCTTTTCCAACCCAGTTAATGCCGTGGTTCTGACGTTTGTGCTCCCGGTTTCAGGGAAGGTTCTGCTGAGGGACGTGCAGGCGCTCACTCTCCACAGAGGGCAGTACACGACGTCCCGGCGGACACCTGCGGTCCCGCAGCTGCAGTGCACGGGAGGCACTGCGGGGTGTTCCCGCATCCCTGAGGTGGTTCAGTGTTACAACAAAGGTTGGGATGGCTATGATGTACAGGTAACTGTTTAAAACTTGTTAAACTGTTAATGAAATCGTCCTCCCCCACACTCGGGAATTTCTGAAGAAGAAAAGAACTAGGGTGTCAGTTTGGTTTGCTTTTTGTTAGATGACCTTTGGTGACTAAAACTTTTCTAGGCTAGCATTTTCCAGAACTACTGTATGTATATGTTTGAAATATCCTTGAAGGTGCTGATGTAAAAACACAGCACAGCAAAACATCATTGGTTTTAAATAAAATGGTGCTTGAGTTTATAAAATCAAACTCTGGAAAACCTCTTCGAGGATGCTCTTTGAATTGATATTGCTGTGTGGATTTCCATTTTTTATTAGAGTGGAAAGGGATTATAAATAGTTGCTTCACGTCAGCTCTACCTTTTAAACACTAAGTTTTGGGCTAGCATGACTTCCTCTTGCACCTTAGGATGTGAGTGCTTGTCAGGCAGTAGTCATGGCTCTTTGTTTTGTTAGCTGTTACCTAAGCTCCTGTCAGTAGATAACCAGGAATCAAGGCTGAAGGTGAGTGTTAAAACTGACACAGTACTGTAAAACAACAGTCAAATTTGAATTGACAGTTGGTACTGCTGCCCTGAATTATTAATTTAGAAATTACTACTTTATTTCCTCTCCAAAATATGCATCACTTGCAGTTAGAGATAGTAAGTTTAGGTACCTCAAGGAAACGTGAGGCTGAGGAATCCACATATATTCGACTGCAGGGTCTGCAGTAGTATTGTTAAGTGTTGGATTTGAATGCCTAATGATGTCTGTCCCGGTTTCTTTTGGTTTCTGCATGGACACAAACTGAATCAAGTGCACTGGATTTCAGGATCACATGTTGTGTTTTTGTAGCTGCCATTAAGTTTACACAGGACAGGCATTTATTAAGTAACTGTTGCACAGGGTATAGCATGTTTTTAGAAGTATTGCTTTATCTAAAGAAGGAATATTTGAAAAACCTGTCCAGTGAAGAAAAACAAAATCTTCCAGAGTCGTAACTCTTTAATGTTATGAAAGATCAGAATTTTTTTTTTTAAGTTGTAGGATTTAAAAATCATCTTTAGTTAACATCAAATTCCTACTCCTTTTCAAAATAAGTGCTCAGAAATTTCATACCCTGTGACCCCTTAGATAGTTTGTTAGCAGTCAGAGCTTTATTTCAAAGCATATTTGGGGAAGAAGACAGGTATTTTAATCTCTGGAGCAGAAGATTTTACTTTGTATTGTGTTTATTTTTTCAGTGGCAGTGCAAAGCAGACTTGGACAAAGCCTACCGCTTTGGACACATAGAAGTGAGCTGTGAAGGCTACGATTACCCGGATGATCCTTACATATTGAGAGGCTCCTGTAGTTTGCTGTTCAGGCTAGAGCTGACTGAGGAAGGTGAAAGGAAGGTGAAGACCTCTGGAAGCTTTGGTTCTAGCTATTATCAGTCAAGGCAAGATTCTTCTGATTCTGGTTCTGGAGCGATTGTTGTAATAGTTCTTCTTGCTCTTGCTTTTGGAGTATACAAGTTCTTCCTCAGCAATCAGCAGCCTCAGCCAAGTCCCGGTGACAATGATGGATTCGCGAGGCCGTTCTGGCAGAGTCAGCAGGCACCTCCTCCTCCTGGCTTTAAGTCCAGCTTCACAGGTAGGACCCTGACCTGTTCTCTGTACTCAAAAGAGCAAGCAGGGTTGTACTGTTTTATCCGCAGTAGGAGCGGGTGGGACCAGCTTAAAACCAGAGCACTGGCAGTTGACTCTGCTGATTTGGCTGCAGAGCCTGCAGCCAGCTTTGTGTTCTGTTCTTTGTTCAAAAGACAAAATAAGGACTTGGTTTTCCACAGGCTTTCAGGGCAGCTGTGCAGCAAGCTGCCCTTTGAACCTTTGATAATCCATCTCCCCATGCTCTGCAAGTGTTCTTTTCATACCCTGTGAAATAGGAGGATTATGACAGGGAGAATAATTTTCATAGGTAATCTGGAAGAGAGAATGGTCTTATGCAGCCAGAAGCAAACCCATTCCAAAGAGGTGCTTTGAAACCTTACAGAAGGATCTTTCAGCACTGATTTCATTCACAAAGCAGTTAATGGAGTTGAGTATCATATACCAGTCCTCTGTTTAACAGGTGCTTCAGTGTAGTTCCAGCAGCTGAAAGATTTGGTTCCCAGAACAGAGAACAGTGCCTGTGAACTGGCATTAGAGGTGCATCATCTCAATCTCACGTGGGGCCTTTCGTCTGAAGTTGTAAGCAATAGATCAGCAATGACAAGGCTGCTGCTAGGAAAGGGTGCACTTTTTCTTCTCCCAGAAAACTGATGACTTTTTTCACTTAATAAATGGTCTTTCTTAGGCACTCACAGTGTCTGAGGAACATAAATGTTGCTCATCTGGTGTCTGACCAACTGATTTAACCCTCTGCACATGCAAGCTGCTCACAGCACTGAAACTTAAATTATATTCTCACAAGTTACATAATCTTTTTTTTTTGTGAGATAGAGAAGGGGTTTTAGCAAGAAAATATATAGCAAGGATTAAGTTTACTTAGAAGTTTATATTTTAGTAATGCTTATTAATGGTTTCTTCAAGTTTTGCTCGAGCAGCTTGGCCAACAGAGGGTGCACTGTAACTCTTTGGGATACCCTTGTGCAGGGCATGCCCAGCAGAAACGTTCAGATGTACCTGCACCAGAAAATTAAAGGGATTCTGCTTCCATACTACTGTTGGCTTTGCAAATTGGTTTCCACGTAGTTATTTCAAGCTGTCTTTCTGTGCTGCATGTGCATCAGTGACCCTGTGTGGGCACTTGCCATTGGCATTACTGTGGTAGTCAGTAGAGCCCTGGTCATAAGGCAGGGCTTTGTCATACTGGACACAGGCAAAACAGTGAAGAGTTACTTTCATTTTTTTCTGTCCTGTTCCTTGTTGATTAATTGCACCAATTGTTACGCTATTTCGTTGCATTTAATGTCTGCCTTAGGTTCTGCCAGCAGAGCAGAAGCACATCTCTGAGTGTGTATGTCCATGTGTTCCCAGGAAGGTATTAATCTTTGGAAATCTGGACAGTAATGGAAAGCAATGTTCATGTATTGCTGTTAATATTTAATTTGCCTCATTTTAAATCCTATTAACATGCAGAGTGTGTCCTGTGAAACTAGTTTAGCCAGCCTATCTTAATAAAATTCTGCTTTCTCTCTGTTTGTGGTTTGACATGATTCTTAATGTTTACTCTAGATATTTCAGCAAAAAATGACTCAGTTTTCTGAGTCAACGTTCAGTCACGGTGCTTTTGAACAAATGAGTTGGTTCATCTCTGATTAACATTATTTTTACAGTAAAGGAAGTACTTTTTTTTTTGGTTCAAATCAGCATAACTGATATATCACTCCAGTGAGAGTTTATCTTTCTCCCCATGCATTCAAAATGAAATTCAACATCAAATCCAATGCAGAATGAAAACTGATTATTTCATACCAGTTTGAAGACAAAACAGACCTTTTATAACTTCCGTTATCTCTTGTCCACTTGTTCAGGTGGGCATGTTTCAGGCAGACTCTCATGTTAACTTCCTTGCTTTTTATAATTCCTTATGTGTTAAGCCTGTGGTTGAGCTTATTCTTGCATTTGTGTTTTTCTCTAGACCAGAAAATTATTCTACTTTGGGGTTGTCTTTTCTGTTTTTATTTCTAAATGGAAGACATTCAGTTCTGACTCAGAACCTCATGTTATGCAGGTCACATGTAAAAAATCTGTGACTCTCCTTCCCCCACAGCCTACTTGATATGCTTGCAGTTTCATCAAGGTATTTGTCAAGCTTGGTGACTCATGCATAATAAAAACTTTGCAATGTGATTGCAGTTAACATGCCTTTTGATAACAAATCCCAGACTAGGATTAGCAGGAACAATACAAGTAATGTTAGCCATTACA